ATCCACTGAACCTTTTCTAAAGCTTCCGATTGTTGCTTAGATGCGCGTCTATTGATCGGCACCGTCTTCACACTGTCAAGCTGGTCTTGTGGTTGCTTCCAGATTGCATCAAGGGCCCTGATAGGCATGTTTTCATTTGCCCCAACTTGAAGTTGTTGAACATCATGCAGCAATTTGTCTTGGGGTGCATTTCCTCAATAAACGTGGTGTCGGGCACCTTATATTGATCCATATATGTTGCTCTTTTTTTGGTTGGCTTGTCGTAACGATGGCCTTCATAGGAATACCCTGTCAGTGTTAAAAAGCTCGCCGATTCATCCAGCGTCATTGGCACATGCATTCGCGAGAGTTGGAACACACGGTAACCTTTAGAGTTGTGCACGTGCACATGCGTGCGCGTGCGTGCACACCACCTGAGCCGGCGCACGCACGCCTTAGCACAGTCTTTTGATTGAATGTAAGCGCATTACGTAATCTCATTATGCGTTTACACTCACCCCTGTAGGCCTGCATTTCTCGTTACGAGACGCGTTGGGCCCAGCTATTGGCGAGTCTGGATAGACGCGCTCGGACCGTGCGCGAGGCCTGTGGCGATTCAATAGAGGTGCAACGAGCGGTTGAGTCACGTGTGGACGCTCTTGTTTCACATTGGACTCAGCTTACAGAACCACTACCTGACTGGGAAGAGGACTCGAATTGTAACGCATTTAGGACTATCACTCCCTCCGCGGTGATGGAGGCGGAACACTCTGAAGTCAATGTAAGTTTTATATCTCGAGGTCCTTTATTTCATTTAGGCTTCTTCTTATACTCGTCTAATATACCCATAGCAATTGCTATTCCTGTGTTAATACTTTAAGTCAATTTGCTAAAATTTTCTTTAAACAAGCCTTCAAGTATTAAGTATAGCAGTTCTAAATTATTATTTTGCTAGCATTGGCCTCAAATGAATTAAACATTTTCCATCATAAAACCTACTTGATTTAAATATAAATCATGCTAATATTCGCAAAGCATTTTTTGATGGTCTGCCTTTCGACAATTTTATCATCCTTGAACTTTTTATCAAGGCCATCTAGACGAGGTCACATAAAACCCACGTTTGGATCAACGATTTGTTCTTAGTATGCCTATCAGAAAGGTTAGTATTTTTGTAACAAAAAAGTAAATAGCGAATTGTAAATTCACCTTACGTCGTGTAAATTAACGGCAGTAAATTATATCGCCATATCTTGTGTTTAAGTGGATTAGTTAAGCATCTTTTTGGGACCATACGTGGATTAGGTAAGACCTATGTTTTGTCTGCACAACGGCTGCTCTTAAACAACAGCCAAACCAGCATACTCGGTGTTTTGATCACCAAGCGCTAGTAAATGCGGGTTGAGAATATGATCGAACTTAAATTTGAGATGAGTGTTTTAGCTCACATATGAATGCTGAAAGTGACAAATACTGCAGAAAAAGGCCAAATTTAATTTCCTTTTGTAGACTATAAGGACTTTTTTAATGTTAATCGATATATCACCAAGTTTATTGGGGTGTACCTACCTGCCTACTATTTAATTAACTTCGAAGATTGCTTAATTGGGCATCATAATTTATTATTAGGAATTCAAAATTTTAATTTGTGTTACACTTTTGATCTTCAAAACAGCAATGTTTTTGATGACACGGTAAAATTCATTTTGATAGTTCTAAAATTCTAGTATCTGAAGTGGATTGATTCAACTATCTTTTTGTTACAAATTCAAGTAATAAGTAAAATAATTTGTGTTATCTGACCAATTTAAGCATGGCGTGAATATCGTTCCCACTTACCATCGGACTGCTTTAAGAAACATTGGCTACTGATTCAGATATTGGTTCTTAGCCCAAACAGGAGAATCGCGTGGCCCTGTAATATCTTGAGTCTAGCACTACCTTACAACCCTCTAGTTAACAGCCCGTAACAACCCGAGAAGAGTGGAAGAAGAGGCGACAGAGAACACGGCCGTCTATTAGCTTCACGCCAGCCAAGTGTGTCGAACTGTGTTTATGAGTGAGCCGATGATGGGCGTCTGATACTAGTAACCAATGGAAAAAGGGGGTGAGTCACTGTCACCGTCAGGTCAGTAAACAGGGTTCACTCAGGCGCGATCGCTGTTAGTCCGCTACAGCTCCATGTTCAACCCAATATTTTTAGCAGGTTACCAATTCACATATCATAGTCTTAGTGAAATATCTTCTTGAGGGACCATGCAAAGCAACTAAATTAAAACCTAAATCGGTTGATAAATTGCCTAAAATGTGCTAGACTGCCGTGAATATATTTTACATCATTTAAAAAGTGTTTGGTAGATCCCATGCAGTCCTGTCTTTTAGTACTCTTATCAATAAACATTTAGGATCAAACTTGACCTGCCATATTTGCACTGATTTCCATAAATTTCATGACTTACGGAAGGTTAATCAGAAAGGCATTGACATTTGTTTTCAAAGACAGCAGGCTAATTATATGCATCTTCAGTTGTCTATATTTTGACGCATTGGCCTTACATTGCACACATTCACTTACTACATGATTTACTAAAACCTTGAATTAAATAACTATTGCTCCTTCTGATTCCTGAAGTTTCTACACTTCACGGATGCTCTTGCTTATTAGAGAATCTTTTTCCTCAAAACTGTGGCACAGGGAATTTTTTACCTGAATGAGAAATCTGTTATTTGGGAACAAAATCAATGTTGAAAGCAAACTTCTTAACTACCCTTACCTTATCATGTCCAAATATGAGTTTGTGTGAAAGTATTTGAGGTTTCGATTTCTCGTTATCCATGAACTCTTATCCTTGGGTACTTACTAAACTTTTAAATGTTATTTTGCTACGTTACAAACGTTTTATAGAAGTTTTAAGTAGCGTTTTATCCCTTTTTGATTTAAATATATTTTTTTAAAAAAAGGCTACACAATTTACTAAAAAACATGTTAAAAGTTTTCACAACTCCCTTGTCATTCCTAAATCCGAAGTTAGCAGTTAGACAAAGAATAGAACAAGTTACTTATTTATGCACCCTACTTCGACATTGCAGTTAAATCACTAGCATATCAGCCAATTCTGCCTAACTGACAATCTACCGAAAGTGTCAATGAGCTCATGTCATTGACAGAGTGAAAAGCGAGAATGTGTGCATTTATCTACTTTCCCTAAGGCGAAATGATAATCGATTCACGAGGTTTCCACTAGTCTTCCCCCAGCTTATTAATCTTGAAGGATTTTGCTGATTGCCTAAACGATAGCAATGACATTAATGCGTAATGACGTGTAGCCTAAGGAGTTGTACTTTATGTTTATTAACATTGATCAGGAAAAATTTTATGCAAATGATAAAAATAGAATGCAGTGCTTGCGAGGAGTTTGCTCAGGACATTCGTGTGGTTAATGCGTTGCGTACTTCCACCTCGGCTAGGCTCTGTACTTCGCACTAGCTTACTTGGAGCTGAGCCAAGTCAAATACCCGGCCTTAGACCGCACATGCTTTGGCACACACTCACACACACAAACTAAGATGGAATTCGTTGTTACTATTTCCTTCGTGGTGTGACGAGATTAATCACTTCATTCGCCTTTCCATGCTTTGACGAATTAGTGAATTTTTTGGTTGTTTGTGTCTGTTCAGCTATGGCTAACAGTCGGTGTCTGTGCACACAGACTATGTCAGGGGAACCAATATGCATTTCCGACACCCACATAAAATAAGACCAAGAAGAGTTTGAAAATCTGTATGCAACAGTAAAAGTGATTCAACATTTTTGTAACATGATGGAATACTGTTGGGACAGCTAGTTTCCACATTTCTAATCAGTTAGCGTAGGATTCCTAATTGTTTTAAAGACTTGCCAGCTTGCGAAATCAAAATGCTACAGTGGAAATTAGTCAGACACCATTTTCCTTTTAGTTACGTCAAAGAACTGCGAAAGATGAGGGAAAGAGAATTGCTGAGGGCACCGCAAGTGGTCACCCGGAGAAACGTATTAGTCTTGATTCAGGTATGTTTCGTTGACACTTTCATGAAACAAAATACTTCTTATTTGCTGTACCTTTTGGCCTCTAGTTTGAACCAGGCGAGGTGAATATGTTTGGTTGATTCTATTCTCTCCGGTCTAGAATCCATTCTTAAGGCCAGAATGCCGGTATAGAACGTTTTTCTTGAACAGCCTCCTAATTCTGATAATTAAATGGAAGTAAAATTAACAAGGAACTTAATCCTTGACTGTTTACTGATAACAGCTTTCTGAGAGCCTTAGAGACACAAGGTTTTATTGTAATACACAGTAACCCTACAAACTGTAGGGCAAGTTGTGACCCAAGCATCAATACCTTGCTACTTTCATTTTCTTTGTCGGAGATAAGAAAGTGACTTGTTGCACAAACCGAGATGACGGAAAGACAAGAAGTAAGTAGGCCGTCAGACTATTGACTACAGCGTGAAGAATGAGACAAGTTGGATGATCGTGGAAATAGAAAGGCTAACACGGATTTGTGTTTTAAATCATTATGAGTAATAAAAATTAGCGTGTTCAGAATTATCATCCCTTTTAAAATGACAAATTTAACGCCTAAGTTATTATATTACATAAAGCCGACAGTTCGAATTCTGATCTTCATCTCGTTTTTGGAACTTGATTAAATGTTATCACAAAAGGGTATTCATTTAACATTTAGCCAGTTATGGATCCATTGAGTCTACTGAGCAGCCTTTTGATAATGTGTTATCCAGTCTCAGTGACTTGAAGTCTAATATTTCTCAGTTCCAAGAAAAAATGACTTTTATTTCGTGGAGGTCAGATTTAGCACTACCAGTTAGTTACTCTCCAAAAACTAATTCACTATTGGTGAAAGTTTATTTGCTATGTGAAATATTTGTATTATAGAAGATAATATGGTGCACCTTGAGTTGGTGCAAGAAAATCTATCTGCATCTTTGTATTTCGCAAATAGCAAATCTAGCCACACTTTTAAATATTTCAAATTGACCTACCTGTTTGTCAAAGACTCAAACTAATATTTTTGAGTTCAGTTTAATCTAACATTTCACAACGTATACTAGCTTGTCTTGAAACTTTCATTTCCACATTAAAAGTATTAGAACCGGTGTTGATAGTGGATGTTTTGCATAGGCTTTGATGTCGATTCGTCTCCAATTTAAAAACACGTTAACTCACCTCAAGGCCTCCAGCGAGATGACATGTCTGAAAAGTTGTTTTTATCTTCTTAGGTGGTGCTAAGTTAATGTGATCTAAACCTATTGCAAGTTACAATGCAAATATGACGTGACATTTATAATTCATTAACGTGACAGATAAGGCGTGCGCAAAAGTGAATGCAGAAAAGCAATTTTCAAAGTGATCGTTAAATGAAAAGCAAGTGTTCTGCATCGGTTCTGTGTTATTTTTGCTTCTCTGCTATAACCTAGGTCGCGTTGCTTTGATCCCAACGGGGTACCGAGCCGAATTCGAACGTCGGGCTGAAAAACTTCTAAACTGGCTTGATTCCAGAGCAGAAGCTCTGGAATTAGTAACCATGCAGAAGTCCGACCAGGGAGCGCAAATTGAAGGGAATACAAGCCAAAGCAATAATCAGGCTCCAGAGTCCCTTAATGAAGTGCTAGAGCGTGTTGGAAATGAACTTTCCGACGCCAAAGAAAACATGGCACTTGTCTATTCCCTGGGAGAGCGATACCGAAAAGATTTGAGCCAAGGTGAGCAGAAACCTTCTGCGTTTTCTTAATGCTGCATCTGGAATTAAAATAGAGATGGTAAATTAGCAAATTCAATGAATTGCGAAGCAAACAACAAATTTATTGGAATCCAGGAATCGCTTAGACCACCTCGATTAGATCAAGTAGTTTTTCAGGTTTTTCAACTGTCTGCTCTCGGGCCCTAGTGTTTATCTGACTAGGGTCTGGGAGCTTTTTCGATGAGTCATGAAACAAACCGTTTGTTTAAACGCATAACAAATGCGATGCACGTGTGCCTGGGCACCAGTTAATCTTTGCGTGTACATCAATTTATGGTGAATTAGGCATTGATCCGATCTAGCCTCGAAACATGCGATTATAGCATTGCCGTTTCTATTTACCGAAAAATTTTTCCTAATCACTCTGTTAAACAAGGCTGTTATGCGGTAAAAACCTTGTAATCAATACCTATTTAGCAAGCTTCGTTTCCTTCGTGCAGGCAAACGCAGATGCTTCAGTTACGTTAGAACAACGAAGGCAGCTTAGAACTTTATAAAAAAATGTTAACATGCCGTCCAAAAATAAACAAGGATTAAAATGCGCTTAAGGCGAAGTAAATTTAAAAACTGAGCATACTGAAGTTATGTCACGTCCGCTACGTGTGCGAATTCAGAGAGGTCGTTTAGCCGATGATTATGAACAGTAAACCAACGGAGTAGGTCAGAACAGCACGTTAAATGTTACGCACCTGATAAACCTGGATCTGTGCCTTCGGTGCAAGGCAAACAAGCCAACGTAAAATCTCCGTTTATATATATATATGGGTATATATGGGTACGTTTTAATAGTAAGCGCGTGTTGGAGCGTTTATTTGGTATTCGAAATTCGGTTATTAGACATAACGTTCGCAATTTACACGTTTTAGCTGGAGAAAATGTAGACGAGTTGGATCAATTGTTCGATGACATTGACGAAAGATGGGCCCTTCTTGACCAACTCTTCAAGAAAGCCACCCTGGAGTCAAACGCGCAAAACGCAGGTCTTCAGAAGGTCGCTTCGCCTGAAACAAAATCCCATTCGTCAGCGCACTCTACTCCCCAAAGTGAGGCCTTTTACTTCATACGCAAACATAACCTGTCTGATGACTAATGAAAGAGTGAAAGTAAAGTGTTCAAAAGCTCAAGATAAGTCTCTACACTAGCAAAAAGTTGGACTTGGAAGCCTAATAGAATAGGATCTGGAAATTTCCCGCCATCGTTACTTGCATTATATTAACCACTTTTAATTCAACATCAGCCTTCGAATTTAACAGGAAAAAATTAGTCAGTTGGGCTTCATGGCGTAAATTAGTCCTTGCTAGATTTCAGATGCTTATCCATAATTTCTCCAAAAATTAGAGTCTTTGGAGTTTTAATACACAGCTACAGTACACTTACTACACAGCCACAGTAGCGTGTGAATTTTTCGTACAATTCTAGGTCCCCTTTGGATGGATTATTCTGCTTGAAATCTTTTATTTTGTATTCCATATCTACCAACTGATAAGCGTCTAATTTTTCATCATTACTAGATATTTGTGAATCTGTGGAGACCTTCAGAAAGTGGCTTCAAAATGCGAAAGACGAAGCGACCTGCTCCATTAAGTGCGAAGATGGAAACCAACTGGATAATGTCATAGCAAATTTCACTGTGAGTTTAAACGTCGAAGGGTGCTTAGCAAATGTGTCAGCAATGGGCTTTAATAAAACTGAAAGTGGCGCAGGAGTAAACTTTTACAAAACACTCTGCTTTACACAACTTAATCCCGTGCCTGAATATTTACGATAAAAACCTGTTTCAAAAGTGAAACCGGACTATTTAACCTACAAATTCGGTGGTAAGAACTATAGTTTGCTTGGTACAACTAAGGGCTGAAGGAATCGCAAATGTGGTTTGAGACTTGCTCAATCAGTCAGTCGGTATAAATTTTCCACCTTGTGAATTTATATTTCTTCATTTCATGCTTTCTTCAGTTAATCAAACATACTCGGTTGATCCTAAACATTTCCATGTTTTTTGGTCAAATGAATGAACCTCTTAGGAAATTGTAATAATTTTATGCTACATTGAAGGAAGTTGAGCATTGAGTTCTGCAAGGCGATCTTGTTGACCTTATTTACGCACCCAAGAAGCGCATTCACCGTGGTCACGTAGTTTGTTTATTCGTATAGCGCACAGTCCAATTGCAACCTCGGACGTCGATAATTGAGCAATTTCTTGCAACTTTGACAACGCCAGACATGAAAGAATTGACCGAAAAGTGGCAACAGCTCCGGCAGTTGATTAATGAACGAATTACTGTGTTGCACAACCTCTGCGAAAACCACGACATGTTCATAGTAAGTTTCGAAAGCTGATATGTAATCAGCACCTCCTAATTTGCAGTGTCTTGCTAATAAAGTTTTATTTGATGCCACCATATCGCTTAAGAAATGACATTCTTTAGATGCTATTTTATCCCATTAAAGCTAAATCATGTTTCTTACGACATCACATCAAGTCATGCGTTTAAAATTGCTTGAATTTAACTGAAAAACCCGTTCCTCAATCCATTTTTTAAGCCTTAAAAGGACATTTTGTTTAAACTTTCTTCTTTTCATAAATTAAGCGCATCAGCGACTAAAAAGATGAAATTTTTACTTTCACCTTTTTAGTTAAAAGTCTGTTCACTTTTCAAGTGTTAGTAAAAAACAAAATGTTAAAAAAGACAAAAAAATTAAAATTATGGAGTCGTCGCTGCTCTTAATGAATTCCCTCTACCGTTCGACAGGTTAATCGATCTTTTGTGAATAAAATTTTTTCCTGGATTTAAATGAATTATTAGTCCAATTTTAAAATCGCCATCGATACTGAATGTTTTAATCATCTTTTAATTGGAGACGATCAGAAAGCCTTAATACGAAGGTGGAGCGAGGTCCTGAGTGTGTGGAAAAAGTGTTAAAACGCCAAACCCGAGCTCAAAGGTAGCCATTTTCGTGAGTTGCATGTTGTGGAACCAGTCGTCGGGATCACTTGCCTTCGGTGATCAGGTCAGTTTCGTCAAATAACTTCTTTCAAACAGCATAATGGGACAGTATAGATTAGTCTGGCGACTGCCCGATTTCGCGCCAACGGTCCCATTACGCGCAAATAGCCGCCTTGCGGAGTTGATGATGCCACTCGAGTCGCGAAGTTGTGCACCCGCTCCGTAGTTCGACTGAAGTGCATGCAAGGGCCCCACCTCCCACCGCCGGTGACTACGTGGTGCACAAACAAACCATGCACGCTTGTGAAGAGCCGACACGTTGCGTTTTCCATTAAGTCGTGCGGCGCACAGCCCCCACTACTCTTGAACTTTGTCACTTACCCATAGGTGGCAATACACAGTCTAGAGGTCACTATTCACAGATCGCGTGCAATTATCGCGTGATTTAAAGTTAATTTTTGCAGAAGAACCCTGGCCAAATGGGAGTCAAAGTAACCAAAACATCCATGTGAGGACGCCTCTGGAAACAGCACAATTTTTTGAGCCAAATCTTTGGTTTTAGTACTACAAGTGACCGCAGACGGCAAATAATGCCAACGGTGTAAATTCTTGTTAACCAAATGCTTGGGTTCTAATGCATCAACTCATTGATACTGATCGTTTTAAATTGTACTGGGACTGGCTTTGGCTGCGATTAAATTCTGATCAAATCACGATTATAAACTAAGTGGATCTAGTCTAGAATGAGAACGCCTTCAAGACCATACAAACTGCTTAATCACATCATGATAAATTACTCAATGAAATTGCATTTGGAGAAAATGCGTGTAAAAAAAACTATTCACCTCCATCAAAAGAACTACATTAAACATCAATTTTAAGAAAAGGTGCATTACTGGAGGTTCGCGCTTTGTATGTTTCATGGTCAACTCATTACCATTCAGAGCTACGTATTTGCAGTTGTTAGCGGTGTTCCGAGGAAGAAATAATACATTTGGAGCCTTTTCGTATAAACAGGTTTATGTTGAATTCTCGGAGCTCGGATCACATATTGTCATGAGAAAATTGCAATTTATATTAGGCTGACTAGGTTATTCCTAAAGGACGCTTTAGCGCATGAAATTGCAAATGTAATCATTCTCTACCTCCATATTCCGTCTTTTGTTTTGCTTG